TCAGTCACTCCCGTATTCCTGGCCCTCGGAAACTGTATGAGATAATGTGTATCTACTATTTTAATTTTATTTTTGCACTAAAAAAAAATTGCTATAGGGCACATGTCCTTGCTAGAGAGACACCAAGAGAAGGAAAGTGAGACAGCATCCCTGGGAGGTCGGGGGAGTGCTCACACTGCAATTTCCTCCTTTGTTCTCCTCTCAGGATTTTGGGCACATACATGTGTTCCCGATATGGTTTTGAAACCGCCAGGTTTGGGACTCAAACCATGTAGTCAGCCATGTGGGATCTAGCCACCTTAATCTCCATGCCAATTGTTGGCTCTCCTTTTGCATTTTTAAAACTTTCTTTTCATTGCTAGAGGGCATACGTACTCACCAGAGGAAGAGAGAAAGGGAGAAAGTGCCCCCTCCCCAATGGGGTGTGGTCATGACACAATCCCTTCTTGTCCATGTCTCCATCCTGTCTGGGTTTGGGGCACACATGCACACATGCCCTGTATGTTTCTCAAGCTGCTAGGGCCAGGATTTGAATTGTGGTCAGCCATGTGGGATCCAGCTTCCTAACCATTACACTCTGGGGCCCACCCTACATTTCCTATTTAAACCACTAAGTATTGGGGTGACTCATAGTGCAGTGACAGAGAATGCACTTGGGAGTTTTCAACAGATACATAACCCTCAGGATGGCGAGGACCGGGCTGAGCGGTATACCTGCTGACAGGTGCTATGCAGCTTTAGGACCCCTAAGCTGGAGTCCTCAAACAGAAACAAATTGTCCTTCTGAGCCTGAAAGAAATGGGTTAAATCATTTTAAGATGAAATATTCTTACTTCCACTAATATAAAATGTTGCCTTATGATTTTTTTTTCCCTGAAAGAAATTCCATGTTAAGTCATGGCTTTTCATGTCCTTCTGAACTGAATTGTGGACTTGGATGACAAATTTCCGATCCTAAGTTGGAAGTATTTTGAAGCCTTCAAAATAGCAAATTCAGCTCCAGCTGCCCCATTTTGGTGTTGGGTGTGACAGGGACAGCACAATACCCAAAGGCGGAAGGAGTTTTGGAGATGCCCATAGCTTATCTCAGGCTGATTCTGTAAGGTTACTGACAATTTCTGTAGAAGTGACTCATTTTGTCACAGACAGTCTGTTTCCACTGGCCCCTCCCAAGGAAACAGTGGGGCCTAGAATACTCATCTGCTTCCAAGAAATAGCCATTAAAATGCTTAGCCCAAAGGTCCTGCATTTGGGATCAGGAAGAGGCTTCTGAACCAAGTAATCTGGGATTATCTGAGTGACAGGGCAGCACTGACACAAACCTTTAACATCTAAAACTAATGCTTATGTATAACTGCTCCCCTCCTTTCTATCCACATTTTTAAAAGACTTATTTTATTTAGCTTTATTTATTTATTTATTTTTATTTTGACCAGAGAGGGACAGAGAGAGAGAGAGTGAGAGAGAAAGTGAGAAAGCAAGCCGCTAAGTCCGAAACTCAAACCACAGTTGGCCATGTGGGAGTCCAGTTTCCTTAACCACCACACCACCTGCCAGTCCCTCTATCCACTTTTTAAAGCCAGTGATGCTGGTACTGACCTTTCCCTGACAATTTAATTCAACAGACATTTATTGAAGTCTTACTTGGCTAAGTTCTAGGGTCGTAGAATTATTGATATAAAAACGTTAATCGGTTGGCAGAAATGAATCTGGTGGTAGGTTGCTTGTTTCTTGTAAAGGAAGTTCCAAGAAAGTATTAATAGATTCTCCCAATGTACTGTCTCTCTAAATTCAACTCCTAATTAGATCACAAGTTCCTTCCCAGGGACCAGACAGCTGTTTACTTCATCCAAAATAATCCCTCCCCCTCCCTGCCCTGATATGATACTGTACTTCATTTTTTTTTTAGCATTATTTGAGTTGCCAAAATAGTTCAGTCATTTGAGGATATACTAGCATACACAGCACCAAGCCCAGGAGTCCCATGCTGTGTGCTAAAGCCAATGAGGACGAGGGACCTGGAGAATTTCCAGACACTTGCCCCCTCCTCCCAAGCTTCCACCAAAACACCAAAATAGTGCCTGTTTGGCCCCCATTTTATCTGATTACTCATATTTTGAGATCTCAAATAGCTCTCCAATGTAAGGGATAGTACAAAGAGGAGTTATCCTCACCCTTTCCTGAAAGGCAACTGTGGAAAGGCTTCAACACATACATGAAACATGTGGAGACAAGTATGAAATTTTGAGTGACTGGAGATTGAGCTAACAGCTGTAAAAATGACAAGGCTCTGATCACCTCACACTGTTTACAGTAGCAATTTATTTGAAGGCCTTGAGGTTATATGATGCATTTCTACTTTATATTAGTTGTCACTCTCAAAGCAACATGAGGCTCTCAGCACCCGATTCCAGCCTGAACTAACCAAACATCATGCTTTCCACATCACATTCCTTCCAAGGCTTTAGTCATGCCATGATGCTTGTGGTGAAAAATAACCAACATATTCTATTCTCTTTAAGCTCAATAAAACTTTGCCTTGGTGTTCGGCCAGAGTTAACACACCAATGACCAAGACATCATAGGTTTGACACCATTTAGAAGGCATAGACTTAAGAGCCCACGTAATACAGAAGTTCTGCTGGCACCATGACGGTGTGGAATGCTGTGGTGAACAAGAAAATGGGGTCCCTTCTTTTCAGCGATGGGACATATGCCTTCTTGGGGCAAATTATTTTCTAAACTTTGCACCTTATCGGTATAAGGGCCAAGCAATAGTTGGAATGATCTTTGCAAGACCTTTAGTGAGCTATGAAGGTACTTCAGGTTTGTGGAAAGATGAAATTAAGTATGAGCTTATTATGGTGCAAAAACTATTTGAAACCCATGCATAGGTTTTTCATACTATGCGTTTTTCTATATTTTGCAGATCCCAACTTGGGAGCCCTGGCACAAAGCATTTGTTCAGAAACTTTAATCCACCAAGTGTACCATTCTACTAGTAGCACAGACCCGGCTTTGTAAATGGCCCTCAATAGCACGTAAGGAACTCCTTAAAATCCTCTCCTGGCATGTGCTGTCATTTAGCTCTTAGCCACTAACTGGCAGGATATTAAAGGAAATTACACCTGAGGAGTTCCTAGAGCACTCTTTTGAATACTGGCCTCCGTCTCTTTAAGGCTGAAAGCCTGGCCTTCTTCCTGTTTAATCTATCACTGATAAAGTTATCATATAACCCAGTGTCTGTTAAATGAGCTATAAAAAAACACTTCAGAGACAGAAAGGGGTGCACTGTGACTTGCAGGTCAAAGCTAATTCTAGGTGAGAGTGTGACTAAGGAAACGTGCTGGTACTTTAAGTTCTGAGCCTATTAATTTAGAATGTTCTTTTTCACGTTATCTTTTTCTCAGTTAATTATTTATGATAAATAACAACAACAAAAACCCTAGGTGCTCAGGCCATTCCATCTTCAGTTTAGTGCTCGCACCCTACCGAGAGCCTACAGGAATGACCCAGCAAATGGAAGCAGAAATAGAGATTCAATAGAAGAAGGAGTAACCATTTTAACATCAATACCAGGAAAACGCTAAAAGAGGGTACTCTTGGGGACCAGCAGGTGGTACAGAGGTGAAGGCAGCTAGATCCCACATGGATGACTGTGCAGTTCAAGTCCCAGACCTGCGGGCTTGAAAAACACACCAGGCACATGTGCATGCATGTCCCAGATCTCGGTATGTGAATGGAGGGACTGCAGTATGGCCATACCCCTCAGGAAGTGATTTCTCGTTTTCCCTCTCTTCTCTCTGCCTCGCTCTGGAGAGTGAATGCACCCCATAGTAAACTAAAAAGGGTAAATTTTAAAAAGCTGTAAAAAAAAGGGGGGGGCACTTTTAATAATTATGTTGGAACAGGGGTAAACTGGGACCATTTCCAACAAACCAACAGGTAAAATCACCTTTAGAAATTCCATCAACCTCTTTAGGAAAGGCCATGAGTATTCTAGGAGTATACAAGACTACAGCAAAATAGACACCTGCCTAAAGAAAACCATTCTCTTCAGAATTGCTAGAATAAGGCCCCAGCTATCTCCAGATGGATGGGCATAAAATAATCACTACTGGGGTCAGTTAGTAGTGTAGTGGTTAAGACATTGGACTCCCACATAGCCAACCAAAGTTCCAGTCCCACACCTGGTGGCTTGCTTTTTCACTTTCTCTCTCATCGAATTGAAAAATAAGAAAATTATTCTTTTGAACAGTTTGCTATTGCCCACAATTTAATTCTAAGTAATATGAATACCATCAGCAGAACTCTGCATTGACGTGTTGGACGAGTCTGTGTTTTGCTTTGAGAGTATATGCCCAGTAGCAGATGGACAGACTGGTGAGAAAGAACTGAGGAGGAACAGGTCAAAATAAGGTAGAAGAGCTCCAGGCAGAGACCAACAGCAGAGGTACCCAGCTCTATGGCACTTTCGGGAGAATCACATGGTTTATGCAGGGCAAGGACATAGCCAGCCTTGGAAAGCTTAAAGCAGGGTAGCAACTACTCACACGTTAAATATTTCAGGCTGTTTTTAAAAGTAAGCTGGAAACGTTCAAAACACTTAATCCCAGTTCCCAACACCCAGATATAGAGGTACAGGACAAAGCGACTTGACAACTGCAGATCTTCAAAGTCCCAACAGTAGATGAACCTGCCCTTACTTTGCCTATTTAAAAAAAAAAAAAAAGAACACTAGGGACAACCCATACTGTGGAGGCTAAGGCAGGTATAACCCACATGGCTAACTTTGCTTCCATGGCCCAAATCCAGAGAGAAGGGTGAAAGGATTGTGACATGGCCATCCACTCCGGAAAGGTGTTCTCTCACTTTCCCTTCTTTCTGTTCCCTATAGCAAACTTTAAACATTTTTTGAAAAAAGCACTTTACTTGCTTGGTAGAAAATGTATGAAATGGCACATAGGGTTTTAAAAGAACCACAAAGAAGTCAGAGGAAGTCTTATAAATGTTAGGTTGATTTATAAGTGCTGCTCTGGGCAGTTACAGTTTGTTTACATGAGGAGTTATCTAACCCTGCACATACTGTACATGGCAATTAGAAGTCGTCATGGCAAGAGAAACCACAGCCAGTCTGCTGCAGCCAACATGAAAACAGCTGGAGAATAGGAGAAATGCTGGGGTCAAGGTGGGGTTTGTTTTCTATTGTAAAAGAAAAATATAACTCCTCAGGAATCTTAACAAGAGGGAAGGAGGATACCGCAGTGGGAGAAGACAACAGGATACAAAATCACATGTATTTCGACTCCAGCCCCATCCCTATCTCCAAGACCAGAGGTAGGAGACAGCTGAAGCCAAAAAGCAATTCTGTTAAAATTAGAATAGAAACCCTAGAAATTTGATTAAAATCTAAACTTGTTTTGCTTTAAAAACTTTAATATATCAAAAGGCCTGCTTTAGTGACATGCTAGTCCCACCAGAAAATACCCAAATATCCCATCAGTAACATGCTCAAGTTGACCAGCCAACTCATGTTTCTAAACCCCGTGTGTGGACAAGCACACGTGTGTTTTTTAAACCAAAGCTATGAGGCTCGGGTAGCTGCTAGTAATGAATATTCACCTGGTAACTAATGACTGTCCACCCAGGAGAGTGAGCAGGGCAGAGAAACCCTTAAGGGGTTTCTGTTCAAGGGACCACAGCCTTGAACAGCCAACCTCTCAAGCACTGCTTCCCCACCACCACCCCTCCAGGTTACATCTAAACCAGACTAGATTCTTCCAATCTGGCTCCCAGTGACCAGGATGGTTTTCTCCCTTAGAAAAACACTTATCCACACACACCCATATATACTTTTTTTGTTTGTTTTTAAATTTAAATATAAAAATACTACTCTGTGTTATAAATGGAGGATCAAGCAGTAAGACCTTTTTCTTCGGTTAAGGTCAGTTTGTACTCTGAGCTTTATGTTCTGGGAGGGCATGTAGCCCCAAGCAAGGGAAGCACAAGAGACCAAAGGCCTTTTCCTTCCTTATCCCCAACCCCTCCTTCTCTAACTCCCTCTTCTCAGAGAGTTGGTTATAACCTCTGATGGAACAGCTTTCCACTGAGAGGGAAAGTCCTAATATAACCAGTCAATCTCTGCTACCTTGAAGAAAATGTCCTCCCCCTCCTTCTCACGCATGCACTGTACGGACAGCCATGCCTGCTGGCCAAGCGTCTCGATTACATGGCAGCAGGGTTATGCATACCCATCTTCCTCCCCACTAACACACTAGGAAGCTTCAGTGATGGGAAAAGGGGTTAGCTATGAAGAGATTAAGAAATTGACCCCTCTATCCTGGCCAAAGAAAGCAAGATTAACTGGGCACAAGGGAATAGAAAAAGACCTTGATATTCCACCCTTTGAGTTACAATTGAGACAATTAGGGCCACGGGGAACGGGGCAGAGCTGGAGTGGGATGAGCTAGGAAGGTTTCGATGACTGGAAGGCTAGTCCACTTAGTTTTTGTACTGGAAGGGTTCATCGCCGGTTTCATTGAGAAGACACGTGCGGATGAGGGCTTCTGTCACTGAGAAGGGGTCGCAGTTGGCAGAGGGGCGCCGGTCTTCAAAGTAGCCCTTCTTCTCCTGGCCAACAGTCCGGGGAATGCGGATGCTGGCGCTACGGTTGGCCACGCCAGCGGAAAAGTCGTTGATGTTGGAGGTTTCGTGGAATCCAGTTAGGCGACGGGCGTTGTCCAGGCCCCCCTTGGGATCATAGGCGCGGATGTGATACTGGTGCCTCTTGCTCAGCTTTTCAATGGCTTCTTCGATGTACCTAGAAGAAACAGAAAAGATGGCGCTATGGCATTATCATCAGAAAATCTGCCCTTTAAGGGCAGGGGCAGGTATGGAACTAAGAAGGAAGTGCCCCAAAATTGGGCAAAATAGTGAGTATTCCACAAAGGCAGGGACGGACTCTGTCTAGTCACCTGTGTGTCTCAATGTTCAGAAAAGTGCCTGACGTGCAGTGACATCAGTACGTGCTGAATGGAGACCCTAATCACTACGGCATTACAGTACCCACATGTCCACACTGTTACTAATTTAGTTCTTCGTAGTCTAGTGGTTAGAGCTGGACCCCTCATGGCCAAATGCAGTTTACATCCCTGCCCTGTAGCCTACCAAAATCCAACAGAATGAAGAAATGGACAAGGAGGAATTATGCTGAGTCCATGCCCCACTGTGGGGGTGCTTTCTCTCCCCAACCTCTGCTTAGAGGACTCATTAAGAGATTTTCAACTGCATGAATTGATTTGTCAGCTCTTCCCTGTTGTCACCTTTAATACTATTCCTAGAATATATTTGCTCCTAAATGGGCATAAAAGGTTAAAAAGAGCTAAGGTGTCAAGAGCTAAGGTGTACCTAAACTAGTTCAACTTACTCATCCGTGATACAAAGATTTGCCAAGGAGACTTTGCTGGGTGAGAGACTGACCCTCCCTGACCAAGCTTTCCACCACAGAAGGAAGAGGGCTCCAAGAAGGTACTCACTTCAGACCATTTTCCTCACGCATGGCCTTGGTGCTGAAGTTGGTATGGCAGCCGGCACCATTCCAGTTCCCAGGAATAGGCTTTGGGTCAAAGGTTGCTATCACCCCAAAGTCTTCACATACACGATGCAGGATGAAACGGGCCACCCAGAGATGATCTCCCATGCTGATTCCTTCGCAAGGCCCTATTTGGAATTCCCACTAGAAAGAAGAGAAGGCTAGCCTTTTAAAACCTGCTCTTCTCACACTGCTCCTCCTACCCTCTCTTGGGTTTCCAGTTAGTGAAACCCTCACTAGCAAAGTTCCACTGCTATCCCCACCCTGCAGTCAGCAGAGGCGGGAACATGACAGACTAGAGCCACTCACCTGGGCAGGCATGACCTCAGCATTCGTCCCTGCAATCTTGATTCCAGCGTACAAGCAGGCCCGGTAGTGAGCTTCCACGATATCCCTGCCATAGGCTCTGTCTGCTCCCACTCCACAGTAATACGGACCTGCAGGGACATCAAGACAAAATGGCTCAAGAAGTCTGGACATCCAGAGAAACCCAAAGCCAGAAATCAGAAGGCCCTTAACATTTGTTCCTTTAAAACACTCTCCCTGCCTTCACCAGCAGGTGGGTGGGAAAGAAGGCAGGGGCCTCCTTTTTACCACAGCCTGAGCAGAGCCAAAGGTTTCCCCTCAATCCTTACCTTGCTCACATTCATCTCTGGATTTGGGTAAGGTAAAGGCTACATTGTTTTTACTGTGTTATTTCAGCCATGTCAGATCTTTGATTCCATAGTCAATGCCATCTCTGGGGAAAGGGGCTTTCCTGGTCTTAAGTTAAGCACTTGGGGAGGAACAGGCTCACTTTTACCCAAGGGGACTTACCTTGGGGCCCAGGGAAGCCATTGGAAGGCCAACCAAAGGGATGTCCATCTGTCCCCATCAGAGTATATTCCTGCTCCATTCCGAACCAGGGGTGCTGGTTGCTCACCATGTCCATTATCCGTCTACAGGTATACCTTAAATTGGTCTCTAGAAAGTGAGAGTTAAGACACCATGAGGGATGTAGGAACACACAGGCTGAATCCTGGCGCGGATGGGAAAATGGTCCTGTCAGTGAAGCCTTTCTGTGTCTCATCACTTAGGTTAGGACCGTGGAGAATCTGTGACTATACATTTGTAATGAAACGCTGAAAGACCTCAAGTTATAATTGAATTCAGTTACAACCAAATCTTGTGAGCATGGTTTTAGAACAGAGCAAGTATTCGCCTTATCCGCAAGCTGGCTACCTCCCAAGTACCAAATGCCAGGCATGTAAACCCTCTGTACGCCAGACAGCTACTTCTAGGTGTCAGACTTACTCCTGATTCTCAGGCACTTAAAGTCAAATGTCATTTTTATTGAGAATCATTTGACCATTAGGAGACTGACATTCTAGGTGAGATTAAATGCTAAGTAGAAGAGATCTTCAACAAGTTCATGGATACTTACTATGAAGACTATGCATGGATTTCAAAAACTTTTCTAGACCAGAATAAACTGTCCCTCCACTAACTTTAAAGTCCTCTCATATAGTATTAGGTGGTGAACAAAAAAAGGGAAGAAAAATGAGATAAACTCAACTGTAAATTTCCATGTGTGAAAGGAACTTTAAAATAATATGTTGACTGCTTAACTATTAATATGTTCCAGGAACCAAAGACCTTTATATATAAACAAAAACTAAAACCATTCAACCAATTCTTCATAACAACCAAGCTGGATTTTCTAAATCTTCATGGTTACAGATGTTAGGTAACACATCCAAATTATAGGACAGGCAGTATAGCCAGGAACCCATGGGCTTCTTGACTTTAGAGCCTATGCCCTTACCACAGTGACAATGCCTCGCAACACATCGGCAGACAAAGGTCCAGTCACTAAGTCTCATTAGCAACGGAGCACAAGACATCTCAAAAATGAGA